TAGTAGTAGTAGTAATCGTAGTACTCGTAGTCGTAAGGTAGTAGTCGTAGTGTCAGTGATAACGCTATTGTCCCATACTCCTTGTATGACCATATGATGATACACATCACGACCTCATTGTGATCATCCAGCCACCTACATCGTTGTAGTCGTCATCATGGCTTTTGCAGTGGTTCTTGTCGAGGCCGTGGCGGTGGTGGTGGCGGTGGCGGGGGTCGTCGTTGTCGTTGCTATGGCTATTAATTACCATTGGTATGGACAGTATCATGTTGCCACGTACCCGGGTTCAGAGGCCGCTTCCAGCAGTCTACGACCATGGAGCTCTTCTGGTGGCCTCCTGCTGGGGTGAACGCTACCGAGCCCCAGCTGAACTGAGAACTTCCCAGGCCCTTTTAATTTCAAATTCTATGAAACATGAGAGCTCAGATCAGCAGGAATTGTGTGCTCGAGATCTTCATGCCCGCAGCCCTGTCATTCTCATCGAGGCTTCATCGAGATGGTTCAAGTAAGCTCATCCGCTATCATCGACAAACGCTTGGGGTTTCAGTCCCCAAAGTCGTCGATAACACTTTGGCCCCAATGTCTAGCCAGATGTGGGAAGAAGGGTCGCCAAGGCCTCTGAAGCAGTGCTAAGCAGAAGGTAGGCCCCAACGTGCCGAAGATTGCGGCAGCGTAACATTGCGGCTAAAAGTGTGAGGCACAAAGTGTTAACTCAGACGTCCCACATACCCAGAATCGTGGCCTTTGATCTCAACATGGCGAGTATAATGCGAAAATTGGCCAGAGCTACGAGTCTTAACCCCACCTTGTAGACCTGCAACTCCGAAACCCCTACAGGAAGGCCTTAAGGGAAAATGTCAAGTATACAGGCGACCCATTTGTGTCCAAACTACATATTACCTGCATAGGTTTTCAACTTGTTGCGTGGCACTGGCGCGAAGGACTCTTTCGGTTAGATCGGCCCACAGCGACAGAGCGTCTTCAGTGTGTGAACGGCGATTGGTACAACAGCTCCCGCATACTGCAAATAGAATTTCCGTTCGCGGTTTAGGGTAGGCAAGCAGAGTTTGGCAAAGATGGGTTGGATCATGGTGTCTTTCAAAGAGTATTCGGTTGTATATCTCCAACAGCAGCCATGTAGTTTCTAGCCTTTGGGTGTGGTGATGACACAATCTGGCCTGTGATGCGGGGGACTGTTGTAGATGTATCCCAACCCCAACCGCCATTATTAGGAAGACGACGAGTGCTACTACCACCACTACCACCACTACCATACTACTGCCACTACCCACGACAGCCTGCTCCCACAACCCCCATTTGAAGCTTTGCGAGCAGTTTTGAACATGGGCGGGGGGGTGGGGGTTAGGGCGTAATCACGCTTGGATGCGAGTCACTCAACCGCCATGATCCACACATCCCCAAATACTCGTTGCATCTCTGCAGAAGGTGGTGCCGTTGGCTCTGATGGCTTTGACCTCTAAAGCATTCTAGACAATCCTCGAATCTTATGTATAGTATAGGGTTCAGTCCCCCCCACAGTCGGCTACCATAGGAATACTCAGGGGATTCTCGTTGGGCTGTGTGTCATCTAGCTTAGGTGACCAGTTTACTTTGCGCATGAAATCTCTTCAGGATAAGCACTGAGTCTTGCCATGCTGAACTGCATGTCCGAACCTTCCCGTAGTAGCAGCCCCGACCCCAAGTCTGATGTTGCTTTTGCTGCTGCTGCGAGCATGTCAGTTCAACAGACACCATTTAAACCACCGTCGAGTTGCTCAAACCAAAGGCAGCCTGTTGGTGCCGAGAGTAAGCCCCCAAGCAAACCACCACCACCACCACAACCACCGCCACCGCCATCACCACCATCACCAAAACCAAAACCAAAACCACCACCACCACCACCGCCCCCGCCCCCACCACGACCGCCGCCGCCGCCACCACCGCCGCCGCCGCCGCCGCCGCCGCCGCCGCCACCACCACCACCACCACTGCCAAGACCACTACCACCAGTACTAGGATGAGCAGCTGCCGAGGCTTGGGAAAGCCTGGGCTGACCGGTTTAGCCTGCAACTGGGCCAGTTTGGGGTATGGACAGCCCTTACTTGGGGTACTTGTAACCTGGTTCATTGAATGCTGCTCTGCGCTCCCAGAGTTTAAAGTAATGCCGGGGAAGCTCCGGAATTTGGAGTCTTGGGCTTGGAGCGCGAGATGTCAGAATTTGTGATTTGAGAAATGAAGCCATTGGGGCTGCTGTTTCTCTGGGAGCTGCAGTTCATCGTGCAAGGACCAACGCTTCGGATGTGCAATGGTGGGTTCACAGGAGACTTGGATTGGGACGCCAGGAACACCGAAAAACCCACCGAAAGCAAAAAGCCCGCAGAAGGGCAGTTGATCTTTACGTTGAAAGAGGTCGTGAGGTCTTCGATGTGGAGCATAAGCGCTCTGGGAATGGAATCTCACTTGCTCAGGAACAACAAGTTGGAGTTGAGGTTTATCTATCAGAATCTATCTGAGAGTTTCATGAACGTTGTCGAAACACCAACACAGGGATAGATATTATCTCGAGGTGTTCCAAAGAAACCCCATTGCAAGTCGCCTAGAAGAAACCATTAAACCCAAGTTCCAACTGTATGGCCTTTGCGGCGAGCTTCCTGAGAGCGCTGAGGCGAGCCCTGCGTCCAGGTTGGGGCGGCCGGTTATTCCACGTACGATGGCCGAAATGAGCAGGCTCATCAGTTGGGAGTGCCAGTATAGGGGGTCCGGGTCAGTTATTGAAAAAGCATGTACTTGATGCTGCATGCAGGCAAGAATTTCGGCTGCTGTAGCTGGTGGAAAGAGGTTTCATGCAATTTTTCTGCGGTTGGTGGCCATTGTCATGGCTATTGGTGTGGTCTGGGTAGACCCTCCCATGGCAACGCTGAAAAACCTAAGAGTCCATGGGGAGCTCCAGGAGCTGTACTTCTTTAACCGCATGGGGCTCAGCATCTACACTGAGCTGGGCATGGTCAAGGACGCACGTTTCGGGAGCGCATACAGGGGAATGAAGCAGGTCTCTCTAGATTGGGATATAATACCTAGGAATATGAGGAGGGGATGGATTCCTGCAAAAGTACGTTCACATTCACACGCGCATCATGCAAGCCAAAGCCTGGACTTGCAGCTTCGATAATCATCTTTGAAGTGGCTCGCGCCCTATGTCTCGTTTAACCATAAAATTCTGGTTCCAGATGGCCCCTTCCCAGAATTGGCGCGACAGTCGAAGAAAGGGCCCTTGTCAAAAGAGACTGGCCCATTCCCCCATACATTCAATCCATTGCACCCTTTGCCTCGAAGGAGCTGAGTGAAAATGCTTTGCACAAACATTGCTTGCAGCCAGCAGAAGATGGGTGCCTGGGCGTCGACTCAGCTTAGCATAGTTCAACTGTGTCTTGCTCTTCGGGCGGCGTGCTTTCGTTGGGGATGTTACAAAAGGCTGGGCCCTTGAAGTACTGCTGACATGTTGATGTGCTTCAAAAATGTTTTATCTGTGCAAGGACCACTCTCATGCAGTTTTGCCTGTGGCAGTGACAGAATCTCAGAAGCTAAATGTGGCTGCACCTGCAATGTTGTCCCGTTCTTGAAGATTCAGTTCAAGCCAAGCCGGCTTATCGGTGGTGGCAGGTTCACATCGGATGGATCAGAAAGCCCTCGTTTCCTCGTTTCCTGTTATCCTTGAACTTGCGGACGTTGACGCAGAACACTAGTCACCAGACCAAAACAAGGGCCCTAGCCAAACTCTCATGGAGGCCCCTCGCCGATCCTGCAGCAGCCATGTCATTTGCCATGGCTGGGCACAAACAAGATTGTCGCATAGCATAACCCATATAGTATAGAATATATATATATATACATATGATTATATCACTTCCCATGGGAAAGTACTCTTACGAGAGGACTGCACACAGCCGCACAACCCTGACATGAGAGCGATGGAGCCCTTTGACACGTAGTACTCCTGCTGTCGTGTTTTCAACACGTTCTTGGAACAAGAACGCCACCAGAATGTGCAATTGTGGAACGTGCCCAGAAAAGGCAATGCTGTATGCATGTGCCTCGATCACTCCTCCCTCCCACATGCACGTACTGGCTCCTTGTCTCCCTCCCTATCCCTTCGTCCTTTCCTTCCCCTTCCTCGCCCACTCGCACTACGCTCAAGGGGAACCATAAGATGGAAGCAGGCTTCTGAGTCTCACCTTCGGCTTACAACTTGCAGAGTGGACGGGCCAGTGGCATGTGAACTCCATGTGCACCATGTGCTGAGGACAATGACTGTCACAGCGAGCGCGTCATGCCCCGCCAAGATGTTGGCCCAGGCCAGGAGCATCTTCGATTTTTTTCAAAGCAAGTTGTATTCTGTTCAACACCCTATAGAAGAAATTATGGTGCCCCCAAACCTACCTCTGAAAACTTTTCATGTAAGCGGATTGATATTTCAAACCCTGCAAGGAACGAAAAATCCCGCACCCTTGACCATGAAGCCCATGCGCTAAACGCAGGATCTTCGCACTCTAGTTTCTGTAGCAGGGCTCATATCACAACAAAAGAGTGAATGGGTTTTGCTTATGTTTGCTAAGTTGCTGCACAGGAGTAGGAATCGGGTGTTGGACAGAAGTCTACCTCCCAAACCTATCTCCCCCTAAAATGGGCAAAAGAAACGGCAAGATGCCCCGGGACCCAAAAAGTTCTGGACTTCCCCTTGCATTTTCAAGTCGAGGGTCTGTTGTGGCCTTTGGCCCTAGCAGGTCACAGGCTGGGCCGGACCCAATGCCCGCCTCTTCAAGCTCATCCCAAGCAACATGAACTTCTCCGAGGATTGCCTGCTTTAGGCCTTTGGGTTTGGGGTTTAGGATTTCTCCTGGGCAGTGCTTTCAGGGGCGAGGGCCTGCAGGATGCCATCATTGCAATCCCGAGCCATTCCTGCAATCAGGTACTCCAAGGCCGTAATGTAGTGACGCCAGCTCGGCTAAATCTCCATTGAGGCAGGGGGTTCAAGATTCGGTTTTCGCTGTCATCATAGGCAGCGTAGAAACGGGTGGCTCCTTTTTCGCCGGGAAGCATGGGGTAGGTGAATGTTCATGTTTTTGGATTCCTTTGCCAATGCGTGTCTGACCTGGCTTACCCCGCTCGGGGTGTCTGTCCTGATTTAGAAAGCAGTGAGTCAAGTTGAAGTGCCGGCGCTGTATCTAGGATTTGTGTAGAAGCCTGAATACTTACCACATTTTGGCATAGCTTGCAGCATGTCTCGCTCTCCAGCGACTACCAGCCTACAAGAGAAAAGACTCAGTCCCGAAACAGGTGCAGAGATCCAAAGCTACCTTCAACTTAGATACTGCAGCCACAGTATCGAAACTTCGAACCGCGAGGCTTCTGTCACGGGCAGTCGTAGGCTGGATAGAAGCTTCAAAAGCCGGAGATCAGCATTTCAGGTAATGTTGCCTGCGGTTGCGTAGCGTATGTGCCCTGAAGCCCAAAACCGTGTCAGACGCGAGGGTCGAGGAATGAGAAGGCCTGGAAATATGGACTTGCTAAAGGGCCAGACGAGCAGTGGAAAAAAAAGTGGAAAATCCGCCTTGGAAGTTTCCGTGCAAGCTGCGGGTTTCACCCTGGATACAGAGATCACCAAGAAGGAACAAGCGATTTGTGTTGCCTGACTTAAACATTGAACAGCGTCTCATGTTTCTTGTTCAGGGAGACGAGACTTGTCCTCCTTGTGTTGCAGCTAGTGGGGTCCTATGAACGATTCTCCTAACACCTATCCCAGACCAATCACGCCTCACATCCCAGGAGACCGACGAGTGTCTGATGACGGATGTCTCTGAAGGATTAACACACGCGAAGTGCAATGCGACGCTGGGACAGAGGGCCGTGAGCCCAAGAGTTCTTTCAAGGTTTCAGGGTTTGGGGTCGAAGTCTGGAATCTACGGTAGGGGCCACTGGCGGAAGACGGACTCCAGGAAGAATCCAGAAAGACGAGCACCCCAATCATGCATCCTGATTTCCTAGTGGATGGATTCTGAGTCGGTTCAGGGCAGACTGCAAGCTGATCTGGCGAGCATAGCCTGCACAGCACGAAAGGCACAACTTTGCTGCCCAAAGCATACAGACAACAGGAAAACACATGCTTCAGAGATGGCCTCACAGCCTCAAGAGTCTGATTGGGGAAGCAACCATGGCAAACTGCACCTGTAGATCCTCAATTTCGGCAGCATGTGAACAGGCGTGTATGTAAATCATTCAGGTGTAGGCTTCTTGTGTTGCCATGCCGGTACGAAAGTCACACAGGCAGCCTAGGGTGTGAACCCTAAACCCTTACATGGGAGCTGACCTTGGTTTCAAGGACTTGGACACAGCAACACCTCCTCCCCGCGGAGCTGCCAACTCATATGCAACTTGCCTTCTTGGTCGACCTTGGTCTCAGATATATAGTGACTATATAGTGATTATCCCTAAGAGTCCAAGGACCCAAATAATAGGGTTTTAGGGCCCAAATGCTATAGTATTACAGTATTCGAGCCCTAAAACCCTATTATTTGGGTCCTTGGACCCTTAGGGTATGTGTTCCTCGGAAAATAGCGGCCGATGCTACAAGCCCTTGGTTTTAGTCTTAGACTTTGTTCATCTCGGAAGATTAGGCCTACTTGTTCTGGCACCATGATTTCAACTGCCTTAAAGTCTTCAGCAAGTCAGTAGATGCATTGACATCAACCATCGAGATGTGGTGAAACAGCCCGATTATTTTTACTATTACTATTACAGGGGTTAAGAGTTTTGAGGCAGGGATTCAGGGGCTAACAGCCCCAGCAAACGAGAACCCAACATCCTCGCGCTGCCAAGCGGAGTACACCAACTGGGAGCCCGAAAACCCGGAAACCAGTACAGCCCTTGGGGCAGAAACTGCATTCCATGATAAGGCTTCTATAATTGTCCTTGTAGCCTTCAATCCGATCACAGCACGCCAAATTGAACACCCTTTCCAGTTATTGCAGTACCTAGAGTTTTCAGATGCCTGCTTTGGAGGTTTAGGTAGAGTTTCTTACTAGGTGTTAGTAGGAAATGAGGGGATGTATTATTTGGGGATTATGTAGGGATCATATTTACTTATTCCCTACTGACCACGAGTAAGTATAACGTCCCAAATGAAATCCCCAATACACCGTGGTAGTTTCCATTCTTTCGTCCATTATTCCCTATATATAACCCCACTATATGGTACAGTTTCCACATGAGGTGGCACCTCCACGTGAAGGCCGACGAGCGTACTCAGGTTCCGGCACATGCGCTCAAGCAGAGTTTTGCGTCAGGCTTTCCAAGCATGATAGTAGGAAGAAAGAGTATTCACAGAAATATGAGTTTGAGGCATACTAGGAATAATAGCAATAATCGTGCGAGTAACAACGGTAATAACGGCTATAACCATAGTAATTAATAGCAATGGTCTACATGACGTGGAAGCCAGAGGCCTCAAGCATTGAAGCGGGTCTTGGGTCGACAGAGGTTGCAAGGGAATGCTGTTACTTAAGTCCCCTCATTGCTTGTGGGGCGCTCCTGGGGTTGATGATGAGGCTGTTGATGTTCCTGGATAGCGTTGGGTGCGGGGTCGTGTGCAGGCTTCAACCAGTGCTTTCATGAGCAAATGTTCAATGTCGAGTTGTTTTGATGTTGCAATAACCCTAAGATCAGCATTTGAATCCACGTCACAAGGCAGAGAAACGCTTTGTGATATAAGCCCTGAATTCCAAACAGCAAACATCGCCAGGATCTGCACAAGCCCTATTCGTCCTACTGTGGTACCAGCGGGGCTCTAAACCGTTTGGACTTCGGCCAGCTGTTTGGAGGCCAGCTGGGACCGGAAAGAGAACACGCGTAGGGCCATGAAGATTTGCTGTGGTTGTTTGATGCTGATGAAGATGCTGTGCTAATGTCTGGCTTGTTGCTGTACTATGAAGGTGCTGGAAACTCTCACAACAGCAAGGAGGACAATGTACATATTCCATGAGTGTTATATGATTGAGGTTTCCAGTAGGCCTCAGAATGCGGTGCATGCAGAGACTTTTCAACTCCCGGGAGCGTCCCGGCACATCTGTTGTTCTAGAAACACCTCATGGGGTTCAACCTGAAACAACGTAAACCAAGTTACCGATGAGTAAGACAGGAGCTGGTCCTTGTTGAGCCTAGGGGTGAGTTACTATACTATTACGGTCAGTACGATTATTATGATTCTTCTTTTTGTTACTATTTTTAGTACTGTTACTATTAGGGTCTGAAGTCGGTTGCTTCCTCCAGGTTGTTGGATGGTCAGGTTGAACATCTGGATCTTGTATTCGGAAACAACTTAGACATCCGTGCGAGCAGATCTATTTTGCCTTCTTTGAGAGAGGTCTGAGCTAAGATCCATGTCTCCAAGCTTTCAAGACGATCGCTGCCGATCCCATCAAAGGATTCGCGCCGTTTATGGCCCTTGCCCAATAGGGGCTTTCAATTTCCATCCCCTGCCGCCTCAGCATACTTTTTTTTGCCACCCTCTTAGTGGTGCTTAGGGCAGTGGGAGAGTGGGAAAGTAAGTCGAGGTATTTCAAATACGGAAGATCATAAGAGTCGACTCTTGCCTCATTGCTGTTTGATTGTGCGCCAGGAAGAAGAGATCCCGACAGAGTCTCTGTATATGGTTAGTTCCCAAGGTTAGGATCCCTTTTTGGTACCCCTAAGTATAGGTGCCGTAAGAATAATGTATACGCATAGTTCACAGCTTGTTCAGGCCGAACAACAGCCGGAAGCAAGTGCAAGTGCCTTGGGCTGCAGAGCTATGCAGAGCCTGTCAAGCCGCATTGCTATCAAGGAACCTCGGGATATACAGTTATACGCAAGTGTGCAAATAAGATACTTGAATTTTCTTATAAGGTTTAGGACGGAAACTTACCCCAAATTTCCTGACAGCGGTCCAAATGAGTTCAAGGCTTAGGGACAAGATGTGTAACCATCTGAAACAGCCCAAGACTCTGGCTGTGCATTCGTTTGCCCTGACTCCAAATAGCGGTGCGCCGTTTACACACGTTAGCTCCCAAAGGAGCATCATTTATGGACTTGGAGCCCTTGGGTAATGGAGCTTGTGGTAGACGACCCGTCAATTGTTTTAGCGCATCCGCTTTCCCAAAGATTGCACGACAGGGAGCCAAATTCCTTCCAGTTCAACAAACAGACGGAGGCCTGAACTCTGGAGCCTATGCATAGTACGGACCACCATAACTCAACCGCATACCTATGAAGGTCTCTGGAACCGCGAGGATTCAATGTTTCCATTTCAGGTCTGCCTTGTTTTCGGAAACTGCCATGACAGCCCTGAAGTAAGCCAGGTTCGCGCCGCTCATCCTGCTGCTGGACAGAATTTAGAAATTTCCCCAGATAGGGGGAGCCCACTATGGACCCCAATATACTATGATCTTTACTATGGGGACTCCCAGGAAAGGTGCCCCAAAATGTGGGAATCCAGCATCTGGTATTAGGTCCTTAACCATCCCGAACCCCTGAAAAGAGTGCCAGGAAAAGGTTAAGCCCTGACAACGAAGATGATCATAGTTCTTGTTCTGCCGAGACAAACGGACGTTTCAAACTGCTTGAGTAGGTCCTGCTTGTTTTTAGCTGGGTCATTAAATTTTGGGATGAGTTTTGATCTGAGTATAATCATACTTTAGGTTGTTCCCCCTTACAGTTACAGTTGCTAAAGGATATAAGGAGAAACATG